TGCATAGGCTGTCTAAATAATAAATACTTATAATAATTATGTATATCTAAACGATTTTTATTCATAGTGCGTACATCAAACTTTTGTGCGGCCCAAGCTTGAAAATATTATGAGCATTCAATAAAATAATAACGGGCTTAACTCTAGGTACTCACACGACACAATACAAACATGTTCGATATAATCCTGTCAAATTGCCACTACACGTTGTCGATACTTCCGTAAAATGTACAAGATTGTTTTGAATTTTATGCACGTGCAATACAGTACAAAGTCGCTTTAACCTTGCATTAAGCCGATATGAGTGTAGTCTTCAAATAGCGAATACCATATAAATTTAATGAAAGAGTTTTCTGATATGTTTACAAGATTGGCAAGACAGCAAATTTAAGTAGGATAATAACTTTTTTAAATAATGCATTCATTTCCGCGTTTTACAGATCCTTATCACAAAATCTCGTAATAGTTTCAAAAATTTCTTGAATTGAAAGCTGACTCCCATTGTTCGCCTCATGTGCCATAACCAAATTATGTACATAAAATAGTAAATAAATAAAATAATAAATAACTATTTCACGATACCCACCTTGTCATTAGTATGTTGCACAGTGCTGCTCAATCTGCTTATATATATGAGCCCCTAGCGCGACTTGAAATCAGTTTAGTTACCTCGTTACAATTACGTGAATAATCCGGAAATCTTAATATGCAGAATAATAAACAGAATTTTCAAACTAACGCGATGTTATATAATCTTTTCAGGAGGAAGCAGGTGGCAGCATCGATCCTTACGAGCTACGAGCAAGGTAAGTTTATTCATATTTTATGCTGTCTTTGGGAAAAGTGTATATTCTTAAACACCATAACTTATTTATTAATCAGATTATACTCTTATGCATGTACTGCACCTGTGCTTTTGTACTTGTATCATTTCTTCTGCGACCATACTGTCTTTGCACTGTGTTACGGTATATTAGGGTGCCACGATTTATTTTTAACCTACTTCCCAAAATGTTGTGTTGGACTTGTGGTACCAACTTCTCAGCTATCAGTGAGCGGATATTACTTATTAGTACGTATGACTAATAATATTATAGTTATTTTTAGTTTTTGCCTTTTGTTTTTTTATGTATGTGTATTTCTAGATATTCTGTTTATAACGACTTCGTAACATCCTACAGTTGAAATGATTTTGATCCATTTTTATTTGTGTTTGCGATCGTTTTTGCATTTACTTTCTTCAGACGTGTAATTGGTATGATGATAATCATAATCAATACCTCTTTGAAATGTTAAAATATCACACTGAATCATAATTATATGTAACTTGTTACATATTTTCACTGATTTATGTGCTGTGTACTTTTGATTTCCTGATGGTGATAAAAGGGCTTTCTTTGCCACGGATTTCTTTAACATTTTTCCGATTAGGTACTAGATGAAAAATTATATTTATGTAATCAAACTGCATTAACCTCCAAACATTACTTAATCACAACAACGTTCATAAACAACAAATTCGTATTAGCGTTTTTAAATCCTACTCTTAATAAGACACTGGCATCGCCATCTATTGAAGAAATACAGAATTAAGATGAAATGTCGATCCGATTTCAATGCTAACTGCGTCAACATTTAAAAATCTTAGAAAGGAGCATACGTGGCGAATATCATAATACGAAATTAGGTATCAATACTAAGCCACATGATATATTTTTCACTAAATTTTTCATTAAGTTTATAATAACAAAGTTGGCATTTTTTTTCCTAAAAACGATTATCAATTATATCACGGGTCAACAAACAGGTCGATGTTATGACGTAAGCATCCGCTAAGAAAAGATTTTGATCTTTTCTACCCCCAATGGAATAAAATAGGGGGTGAAAGTTTGTATGAAACTTTGACAGTTTTAAACCGATCGGGCTGAGACTTTACATGCATAAAACTTCTATGACATAGGTATCTCTTAAGAAAGGATTTTGATAAATTTCACCCCTCAGGGGATAAAATAGGGAATGAGAGTTTGTATAAATCTGCTTAGCTATTTTATGAATTTACTGCATCTAGGAATCATGAAATCATTTTGAGTTACATTCGGTAAAACGATAATTTTGAGACCTGGGAAACGATATATGATAGTATTTATTATTACAGAAGTCCCACGGGAACGGGAACAATGCGTTAAAGGACTCTCTATCTCTTAACCACTGAACTTATTTTAGAAAAATTTGGTACAGCAATAGTCGATGAAATAGTTATTATCAATCAAACCAACGAACGAGCACTGTACTGGTAAAACCCCTGCGGGATTATTGATTTTTTGAGACCACGATAAATTTATTTCACTATAAATCTCACTTAGGCACTGCGTCGATTCTGATGAATTCTGCCAGAAGTCATTATTCTACGTGGACTGAGTCGCGGGCAACAGCTACTCATAAATAATCGCGGAAGATTATTAAGTTTTATAAAGTTAAAGAAGAAAAAACTATTAATAACTATGAATACAAACATAAACTTTAAAAATCGTCAGCCACTCCATTAGTAAAGTTTGTTGCTCGGCTCGAAGTTTTGTATTAGGTTTAACATAAATAATAATTTACGGTTTCAAAGCATTTTTATGGCAAGGCATTTTGTTCGACATACGCGCCTATAATAATTACCCACGGCACACACTGGCGTTGTTAATCCTCGAAAGGTCAGTGAAGTGTTATAATAATGTAACACAAAGTATTGTATGCATTGTATAGTTGTGCTAGTACAATATTACCTACTCAAAACATACATTTTTGTAATATTTGCGATGAAAGAACATCTCTGCGGGGCGCCGCGGCGGGCATCGACTCACCACAGATTTTTGATTAAAATATTCTCTTTGCTCTATAAATAATTACACTAACTGCATTTTTATGTAAATTCAAATTTTGTACGAATAAATACAGTTCAGGAGATTTCTCACTTACTCTTATTATAGTTAGTAATAGTTTTTGTAATTATTGAATTAATGAACTAATTTAAACGCGTTTTCTGTTGAAATTTTATCAGCCTTTAAAATAATCTTGTTTCATATTTTTAGTAAAGGACCTTTTTGGCAAGTTCAACACTTTGACATACATCTTTATTTAAGTTGTTTTTTTTCTATTAACTTTTTCACGTCTTACACTTTATGTATGTATTTGAAGTACCTAAATGAAGTAACCATGAATGAATTTCATGTTTAATAGAGAAACAAACACTGGTTTTCAAGTTCGACATTTTGGTCAAAATACCAACACATTTAATTTATCAGAAAATACAAACACTTTAGAACGGAGGTATACGAATTTTGCCATACTTTCAAAATGCTAATGTTTGTGCATTCATCTCTTGTCTGTCGATATGAGACAATAGAAAACACATTGTGTCTCGCTGACTAAACAGTACACATACCTACTGTCATGAAGTTGACATACACAAACACAATGATACTTACATAATGTCAATCGATGGGTTTATTGCTGTCGAATATAACGGCCAAGGATATTTAGCAAACGATGTAAGAGTTTTAAATGTATACAACAAAATTAAATTGGAGTATCTGTTTGTAACATTAAAATTAATACGGTAGAATTTCAACCACTAGGCGATCTCTAAGACACCATTAATTAATGAATAGCATTAAAATATAATTATGTATAAAAAATATATTTAGGAATGTGTCTGTATGCCATCTAAACCAGCAATTCTTTTATATGCATATATAGTTGTATATCGACGATCTCGGAAGCGGCTTCATCGAGGGTTTCAACGGGAATTCGGGGGCGATAAATTGATCTAGCATAAAAATCCTTGTTAGAATACAAGCTAAATTTTTCCATCATTAAAGTTAAATTAGCTTTGAACTGAAAGCGGACTTACTCTGAAAGTTTCCTTTAATTTTTTTTTGTTGGTGTTTTATCATAATTGGGATGATGACGGGGTATGTATTAAAAATCTAATTAGTCCGTAAGTTAGGTAATGAAAAAATATTAGACACGTATTTTTTGTATAATAAAACAATACTTAGATAAAACGAATCAAAGTTTAGGAGTGGGTGCTAAAACGTAATTTCTACGTATAAAATATACATAGAATTGACGTCACGCGACATTTCAAAACAATTTATCGTCGAAAGTATTCGTTTCTGTAAAAAAATAAAAAATACGTGTCTAATGATTTAAAATAATCTACCAGACGGACATTAAAATAAAAATTAGGCATCTACCCTATTGTTCTATTTTTTTAAATTATCGAGCAAAGTGCCGTTGTCCAGGTACCTATTGTTATTTAAGTTACTAGCCTACCTAGACATTGCATAAATCTACGTGACTATAATTTCACCCGTATTTATATACTAGTTGCAGGCAATATCGTTTCTAACGTACTGAATAAAATTAATGAAAATGTAAACTTAAATATATTACCTGAAGCAAGTATAATTCGGATCCCTACCATTAATAAGATAGTGCAAGTAACGTTGGTTATCGTTGATGTCTTTTGTATAGGAAAACTATCACAAACAGTTTTTCTTTGTACTTGTCTCCAAGATTGAGATTTAAACTATCTAATTGTATACAATTTCTATAGAAAGGGATAACATTTTTCAAGTTATACTTTAAAGTTATGTTTATAAGGAAAAAGGGAGAAAGGAGACCCTTCCTACCGCGTCAATCCGAATAGATTCAGTGGACTATTCAAAGTGTTTTATTTATGGGTCACTCTTCCTTTTTTACAACAATCAGTAACTTTTTATGTTCATAGAAATTATTGTGCTACATTTTTTTTTTAATGCGAACTATCTCTTTTTGTTCATTTTTGCAGCCAGCTATTTGATTGTTTATTCCGTAAACACATTTTAGAAATCCAATTATATTTATAGTCACATTTTTTCTACACCTATCTATTATTATTTTATAGGTATTTTATGAAAATTCCGTAACATTTAATATCATTTTCCGAGACCACTATAATACTAACATACCTGGTTGTCTGTCAGTGTGTCCGAGTATATTGTCAATAGTGTAGGCTGTACCGCGGCGTCCAGCTTCTGACATAGCGACCACACAACACTGCACTTCTCATTCAATACATTTAATATACAAAATTAAAATAAAAGCAATAATAAAAACTTCATACAAAAGTACCAGAGTTTTGTTTAAAGATGCACTTTATATTCACTATCACTTATTACTATATTCATATTATGTTGTAAAGTTTCGCGTAAATAGTTACCCGGTGTAATGTGACCGCGGGTTTGTGACTCAAATTGCTAACTTTGACTGACGACTTTGTCAAATGTACGTCCATCGCTTCCTCAACGCCCGCTTTCAAGAGGGAACCCTGCTAAATACTCTATCTCTCTCACACCCGCATAAAAGTGCTATCGCCGTCCCCTTCTTAAACCCCGCCTTATTATTTTCATTGGTCGATGTAATAAGTTAAGGTGATGAATGGATTTAGATTTACGAGTGTCACGACGTGTTATAGGAAGTACAATAACATAAGTATTAACAACAGTAAGAAAAATTAAAGAAAAAAGTTTTCTTTTTAGAGTTGTGGTATGAAAATATGCCTATTGTGACTAGGGCACGGAATTAGTACTAAGAATAATAAACAAAAAAAAAATTTCATAATTAAGTACTGTATTACTGTTGTAATTTTTTGCAATATGCAGCTTTTATTTCAATTATTTTTTATTGTTATTGATTCACTTCTTAAATACTTAACGAATCCATAGAGACCTCGAAAATTATTTCAGTTAAAACAAACATACAATTAAAGACCTTAAAAAGACCCGTGAAAAATATATTTTTACTAGCGGACCCGACAGACGTTGTCCTGCATATCCACTTGAATGTATAAACAAAAATTCATTCAAATTAGTTCAGCCGCTTAGGATAAATAACCTAGTAACCGACTGCAGCGCCATCTGCCGGGCTGATTTGTGAATTAAGCTATTCCCAGATCCCCTTGAACACACACAAAAAATTTCATCAAAATCGGTCCAGTGGTTTGAAAGAAGTTCAGTGACATACATATAGTGTGTATAGTGTAATGAATACACAAAACATGTCACCTTTGTAGCCTGCAATGTTTTAGAATCACGCCGCCGCGCCGTATTATTAAACTAGTTTCTGCCAGTGTCTTTGCCTCCAGGAATAAAACTTACCCCATTTGTCAAAAGTTATCCCGGCTTTTCCAAACTACATAATATGATAAAATTAGCGCAGTACGTTCGGCAGTACGGTAAATACAAATCAAAATCATACCAATTTATTTATCTGACTAGCTGTTATCCGCGACTTCGTTCGCGTGAAAAAGCGACTTCTGAATAAATTGGGTTTTTAAACTGTTTGTAAACTGGAACAAATATCATCACAATCGATTCAGTAGGACCTAGGTTATATTTATTGAGAAATTTATTTATTTTCGTTGTTTTAAAAATAAACAATCCCACAGAGGCTTTTACCCGTACAGTGCCCGTCACGTGAGGTTTCAGTGATCAAAACATACCAATTTATTTATCTAATAAAAGCATTTAGTAAATGGTTTGAAAGTATTATTAACTTTACTAGTAAACCCCGCGAACTCCGTTTCGCCACCAGATGGCTTCGTTTTATATAACATTCTAGAATATTCATAAACCTTACGGAGCCGGTACCTTTCCTACGAATGCAAAACCATGAAAATGACTGCTCCCGCCTGGGTGAGGCGGGAGGGAGTGTCAGACTTTTACTGACAAAAAACCACCCTGTTCCTTCTCCTGCACTTCGAGCCGGAGCCCCAGTAACCCGTTAGGTTCTCTACGACTCTGTATCGGCATCAGCCCTATTGGGCGCCATCCGTGGTGGTCTGATGGCTCTTTGAGGCGAGCGCGGAACGCGACGCGCCGTATGCTCGGGTCTGGTTCTCTGGTCGGGCGGCGAGTCACCCATGCTCGCCGCCGGTAAGCTACGATACCCGTCAGTTTGGTTTCTATAAAGGGTTCCAAAAAGTAAGTAAAACTATAGGCTTAAGCTGCTTATGTATTGTACAAAGTTTAAAAAAGTTGTTAGTAATGAAAGGATTAACTTTAACACAATATAAGTAAGTGATAAAAAATCTCATAAACTGTCAGGTAGCCCTACAGGAGTCGTAGTGGCGCCACCTTAGTGCGTTTTGTTAACGTGGGCGTGCATGTCAACTTATAATGTTACTAGCTACTGCCCGCGGCTTCACCCGCGTTATTAAGAGATGAAAGTGGCCTATTATTATCGAATACCATGATTTATTCGAGTTTCAAATTTTATACCGATCCCTACCCTGTTTGACGTGATTGAGTAATAGACAAACACACAAATTGACAAACTTTTGCATTCATAACACTAGTAATATTAATTACGCTTTCGATTATTAAGCTAAACGCCATTACATATTAAGGTCAAATAGTTTAGTCAGAAAGTCAGGCGCCTTGTATAGAGGACATTCAGGTTCAATCCTCGGTCCGATTATTTCTTTTATTTTTCTGTTTTTTATTTTGTCTTTTTTTTCTAAATTATTATTGTTCCATTCTTTTCCTATATTTTTCTTTTTTTCTAATATGTATTATAATCGTGTATGTAATGAGATATGCCTCATGGGTTTAGTGGCCACAAGCGCGACTAATGAGGAATGGGTTTAACGTTTGAATCCTGGGTCGTTCCAATAACTCGGGAGGTTTATAATTTTCGAAAATGTTGTCTTAGGATCTTAAATTGTAGTTGATGCCTCATACTTAACTGGAGAAAAATTGGTAATCATTTAATTTGTAAAATTTGATTAATGAGATGTGATGCCACCGATGATACCTAATTTTTTTTTAAACGCTTGTTATCTGACAAAGACTCGCGCACGTAGGGTTAATTACCTTAACTACTTATTCTAGTTATTCTTATACGACTACTTATTCTACATCTTATTCGAGTAGTCATCCTCAACAACAGCCTATAAATGCTCACTGCTGAATAAAGCCTCTTCACACATGGAGAAGGTTTCAATGCGGGTTGGCGATTTCAAAATTATAATGAGAAATTATACGCCCAGGGTTCCTCTCAATTACTTGTTATCGAGTAAAAAATCACGTTTGTTCAATGGAGACCCTTCTGAACATAAATAGTTTCTTTTTGTACTTTTTGTTTAGCATCTAGCTTTCACTGTTCATGAGATGTAGCCTAGTGATAGACAGATGCATGAAAGACAGCTAATTGTTGATAATAAGTTCAGGTTTTTACCATTTGGGTAAAGAACCCTAAAAACATCAAGTTGATCCCATAAATTAAAACACCAAAAATTAATGCCTAACTCCTATAATCTTGTGGCTATATATTTATGTTAGACCTACATTTCCTAAATTGTAGTTAATTCTACTGAAGTAAATCTGTCAGTACTACAGTCGTTATGGCCGTACAAGTGATTGTTTCGTATCGCGCATAAAATCGTCCATAATTGCTTGGTATCGAGTGCGGTTTCAACTCGACGCGTTCTAGCCGCTCATTGTGCGCCTAATGCAACATTAATGGACGTTTTATACCGCTCATTGTTTAAATCTACGCCTTGGAGACTTATGCTTGAATGTTTCCCCTGAGTGGTTTCCCATTTGCCTTCAATAGGTCTGAAGAATGGCGACAACGACACACGACTCGATCGCTTTTGCTGAATCGAAGTCATTGCGATATCGAGGACGCGTACTTATGCAATGCGAAAAAAATTTGCAGAGAAGGTTTACTGTATGCTACAAACAGGAAATATAATTACTTTTTTAATAGGTTATCGCAATTTAATACCTTTAAGCGAACAATTCTTGTATAATTTTATCCCACCAAAAAAATTCTGTAAAAAACTAGCCAAGTCTCGATGGAGCTGCTAGTTTATCTCTAAAAAGTAATGAAATATAACAAAGTCGTGCCAAGTCTAAGGTTCCTTATTGCAATTTTGTTATTATTATAGTTAATGTTGTGTGACCGTTAAAGGGTACAAAACCAGGTGCTCCATGACACCATTGCACCGATCTGTCGCCAGAACCGCTACCCATTGACGATGGAAAATTGCCACTTGGGAAACGTGGTGTTACCCTTCAACAGCCAAGTCACCCAACATTAACTATAATAATAACGAAATCGCAATAAGGAACCTGAGACTTGGCACGACTTTGTTATATTTCATTACCTTTTAGAAATAAACTAGCAGCTCCATCGAGACTTGGCTAGTTTTTTACAGAATGTTTTTTGTGGGATTTCACTTCTTTTTGTGGAATGTGGGTATTACCTTAACTCTTAGTCCTATGCATTATTATTATTTGGACCAAATTTTTAGCAAATGAATATTTTCATGTTATTTATTTATTTAACACCAAGCGGTCACCGGTGACCGCGACCTGTTGTTCTTTAATTGTGTCTGTCTAGGGCTAGGTTATACTGTTTATACTGTGGTGTGTCAGGTCTTGTGTGCGGAGCTGAAAATAAATCCTGGATGCCAATATACTAACTGATTTATTAATTTTAATCTTTTTACAATATTAATTGTCCTTATGAGCGGAATGAATTCAAAACTAGTCGTCGATCGATGATCGATGATCCGGCGCACTCCCATATATACACTCCGTGACGAGGAGGGGGGGAGGCGGGCAGACCCCCCGCTCTCGACGTAGGGTTAGGCGTCAACATCCTCCCCCCTTGAAGGTTGCTCCTTCAACCAATCATCGCTGTTGAACAAGGGGCACAAGCGATTTACTGCACGACGAACGGTACCATTAGCTGTCCTGACGTCGGCTACTCTGGCCACTTCATCCTTGCCCAAATGCAAGTCCTGTATCCGCCCTATTTTCCATTTCAAGGGAGGCAAGTTGAGATCCTTAATGAGGACCATATCTCCAATTTGTAATTGTATATCCGCATGCCGCCATTTCGTACGATGTTGCAGTTCAGTGACGTAATCATGCTGCCATCTCATCCAAAAACATTGTCTCATATGTTCTAATTGTTCGTATCTGTGAAGTCGATTGCAGTTAATGTTTGACAAGTCAGGAGAGGGAAGAGCT